AAGCCAGATCCGCGAGGCGTCTGAGACGCCCAAGAAGTCGTTGCAGCTGGACGACGGCGATGCGGGGATGATGCTGTCGCCGCCGGATGCTGATTTTGCTGGGGCGAGTCCGGATACCATTGTCGTTACTCCCCCCGTGGACATGAAGTAGTTGCGATTCAGTCTTGTGGAGCGTGTAGTCTCTAATGTTTTTACTTTGTACATTTTTTCCCCTTTGTATGATGATACCAATGTGATGCCGATGCATACGACACAAGGCATGTTCTGAGAATATAGCTACTTTAGTAATTACGTTCGTTCTAAATCAGGCGCTCCCAAGCCACGTTTTTGTGAATCGCAAGTTGTGTTGGTGGTAGCGCAAGGTGATGTCGACGTGCCTTTCTTTGTACTATCTCTAGTACATACTAAGTCTTTGCCCAGGTTCGATATGGAGATTTCTTGCATAGAAGTGGTCTCCTAACGTATTTTGGGGAGGGAACATGACGGATTCCGAATTCAGCTCATACCTCACCTGCCTCACTTCAAAGCTGGGCCTTCGTAGGAGAGGCCTGAGCCCAATAATCGGGTCATAGACAAGCCGTCAAACCATGACGGAATGTCTATCAAACTCCCCCTTCTCCTAGAGAGCGAACCTCCCCGACATGAATCCTCGGCTGAGCGCTGCTTATTGGCAAGTACATGTACATAGTTCAGCAACTCAAGTCAACCGACGATCAGAGAGGAAGACAAGTTTTGATAAACAGGTCATCTGCATAGACTCACAAAACACGAGCTAGCGAAATCTAGCGAGCTGAACCACCTTCAGAGACGGTGTGAAGATTGGGAAACAACTTGATATTATCGCCAAGATACCTTCCTACGCTATGCATCCTAGAACCACCGAAAAGACATGTACCCAAACGCCCAGAGCTTATCTTCATTATTCCTCATCACTACTCTCCATCACGAAACCTCCTCTGGTGCGCTGTCGTGCGCGTGCTGTAGGCGCCGGCGCATCTTCGTCATCTGAATCGGCATCTGTCTTGTCTGAAGCCTTCGCCCCTTCTTCAGCAGTAGCTACCTCAGGAGTGATGCGTCTCCGTTTCCGAGATCCCTTTCCTTGAGAGGAAGACGGACTGGAGCTCAATGGCGTAGCATTGTCTCCATTCTGCTCGCCGTCGCTATCGGCATCCATATCAACGTCGGCACTCGGCCGGGTAGACTGAGTGCCTCTCGTCACAGCGAGGACATCATCGTCATTGTCGTCGCTATCATCAAGCAGCACCGCTGCTGGTCTCTTGGTCGGCTCCGATATCGCAACCTTCTCCACAATACGAGCCAAACGCGAGCGTTGTGCCTCTTCTCGTTGGAAGAACTCACGGTCGTACTCCTCGTCCGTGTCGTCATCGCTAGCGTGGACGTACGCTTCGCTCTTGATCTTTCTCGCCTTTTCTCTCTCGCGCTCTCTGCGCTTCTGGGCCTTTTCTTCCAACTCGGAATCATTCGGCGCCTCCTCATCTTCGCTGTCTTTTCTGCGCCTCCTCCGCTTCGTCTTTTTAGAAGCAGGGTCGTCAATAGCTTTGCGGACGGTAGGGCCCAGGGGTTCAAAGAGGAAGCCGTCATCAATATCATCATCGTCGTCATCGTACTCGGCTCGCTTTCGGGCTACTTTCTTGCGGCGAAGCTGATCCTCTGCGCTGGCACCATCAAAGGCGGGTGGATCAAACTCGGCATCGTTGATGTGCTTGATATACACACGAAGGAGACTGGCACTAAGATCTGGTGGCAGCATCCATACGGACTGGGGCGTCTCCTCGATAGTCGGTGCTAGCCTCTCAAAACCAACCAGCTTCATGAGTAGACGCAGGTGAGAATTCTTAAATATGGCAGTCTTGCGGGCATCATTGTCCGGTCGCACAGCTGGTACATGTTAGAGAGATCAACCAGTGTGGTCGCCTGAGGAAGTACTTACTCAAAGGGTGTCTATCGATTTGTGCGCCCTCGTCGGTGCCCTCGACCGATGGTATGAGGAAATCAGCCGCCTCCCAGGCAGCACGCTCCTTTTCCGCAGTATCAAGAACTTTCTTGACCCACGAGATATGATCCTGTTGATTTTTGTCAAGCAGAGCGCCAACGACGATGGCGATTTGCCGGTCCAAATCCGCAGTGTACTTGAACTCGAGTTCTGCAGCGGGCCGAGGCGTCGATGTCGAAATAGTCTGTTTCTCATAGCCATATTCCAGGTAAAAAGCGGTGCTGCTAATCTTGGAGAAAAGCATCTCAATTATGAGTTCGGGCCGCTGCTCGATCTTGCGCGTGCACTTTCTGAGGATTTGCTTGGTCAGTTCTTCCCACTCCTTGTACATGGTAGAGTTCCTGTCGAGCGGTTCCGGCCCCTTGATCATGTTGTAAAGGAGATGCACAATATCAACGCGGAAGAGCATGACGCTCATCTCTTGTTTAAAGGCTATGCGATAGAAGTATCGATGAGCGCGCTTCAGCTGAGAGTCGTCGAGATCCTTGTAAAATTTGGTAAAGGCGACAAAAGTATCGACCACACCTTGGGGGGTAAAGCGCGATGTGAACCGATGGAAGTCGAACTTGCGCTCTTTGGACGTCTTTTCGGCATTTGCCTCGTCGTTGGCAGACTCATCGTTCTCCTCGTTATCAACTGTATCGATACCTGCTTCTTTCTCGGCTTTCTTCTTTCGCCGAGTCCGTTTACGAGACCGAACTTGCATGTCGACGTTTTGTTTCGAGTAGGCCTCCAGAATTCGCAAGAAGTGATGCACTAGCTCTGTGGCGGTGTCGAGATACTCGAAGCCTTGCTCCTTGTATTGTCTGACGACATTGGCAATCAAGTCGTGTGTGGAGTCTTCGTAGAAGAGACGACTCAGCGTGTTTTCCGCAATCTCCTCATCGTCTTCGTTTCCTGACTCTGTCATTTCTTGGACCGTGAGCAGAATCTGCGTGAAACACCGCATCGCAGCCGTCAGGGTAGGCCAATCCTTATGTTCCCAAGAGTCGTGCATAGTCTTTGTGAGAGTGATGAACATTGCTTGATCCAGCACGCCGGCCACGAGATTGAAGCTGCTGACCTCTTCGGGGGCGCCTGCCTTCTTCGAGTCTCGTTTTGACTTTCTACGAGTTCGCTCCGCCTCCAAAAACCAGGCTACAAGATACATGTACTGTCGGCGATGGTAAGACAGAACATGGGGCGCCTCCCGGTCCAAGGACTTGCGAACATGCACGAACAAAGGGTTGAAACCAGCATCAAGGAAGTCTTCGACAAAGCTTCGGAGCTGGTCGTTAGCCCTTGCATTGAGCTTGACTGGGGCACCGAGGTCCTTGGATTCCACCTCTCCCTTCTTGGCCCGTCGCGGTGGCTTAAACGTTTTGGACTCGTCCAGTTTCTTTTGCCGCGTAGCGCTGTCTGCGAGCGCATCCTGACCAGTGATTGTTGATACCCGGCCGTCTTCGCGCTGCATCCATACCATGGTGCCGAAACGGTTGTGGCGGGTGGGCGCCTTGCGGTTGAAGGCACTGCGCATCGCGCTCTCCTTTTTCATCATTGAGGAGAGCTCTTTAGCCTTCGTCTTGTGTAATTGCTGTTCATTCATGAACAGCTTCTTGACCTCGACCTGTTTGACCAGGTGGTAGATGACTTCCATGAGAACTACGTCCTCGGTACGGAAGTCTTCGCCCATATTCGAAGCAATCATCAGCAACACCGCAAAGATGTCCTGAAATGAAAATGCGTCTATCGTCGTGGAGCGGGATATCTGGGTCTCGTCGCCATCGTATTGGACACCGGCAGGAGGGGTAATCATGGCGATGTTGCGGAGGAAGAAAAGCACAAGCTTGATGATGCCCTGGTCGCGGGCAGATCGTTCGCCAATGGAAATTGCCATAGATGGTAGAGCTGCCCGGATAGCTGTATTGAGAACTTGAGCGCCGTCAAAGTTGATGATGGCCCGCTTGTATCCCACTTGCGCCAGCTCGAGAACAGGCATATGGCGATGGTGATTGACTGTCATTCGTTCGGCATCTCTTTCCATGGGCCAAGTAAGGGGCACCATAATCTCGAAGCAGGCTAGAGCTATACGTGCTTTGAATGTGTTGTTGGTATCGTTCTCGGGCCAGCTCGCGAGGATCTGGAGAAGATCGCCTTCCACGATGTTGGAGTCTGCAATGCATCGGGCTACATCCATGCGATTGGTCTTTTCGTCGTAGTGCCGAATCCATTTCTTCAGATCGCGGAGGACCTGGACGGCGTCGTCACCAAGTCTGTATCGTCCATCGTCGTCGGCGCTGGTGCCACCGAGCTATGTTCATGTCAGAGTCAATGTACAACGATTTGGGGAGGAATTCTCGGCTGGCCAAAACGTACCGCGGACACAAGACTGTTGATGTGCGCACGAACTTCAGGGTGGACAACTTCTGTTGACCCGTCCGGCAACTCCATCTTGTCGGTTCTGGCGGTATTCAAGACAATGGTAGATTGCAATTGAGGCTTGGTGGTGTCTCCATCTACACGCCAATAGTGACGATGATAGAAAAGCCCTGGAGGGACAGACCTGCCCTGGTTCACCTAGCGACGCGTCCAGCGCGATGCAGTGCGTCCTAACAGAAAGTTGCGTTAATTGGCCCCATATTTTGTGCTATCGATACCGAAGATTAGATAAGGCCCATGTAGGTATGGCGCGCGGACCGAAAGGTACCTGCTTTAGCTCTGGGCTTTGGGGCTCATTAGGGGGCCGCGGTTAACCTCGGGTCATGGACAGCATCATGGCCCTGGACAAGCAACGACATCTGTCCACGGACTTCCGTTCTGTACTTCAATCTTAACAGTACTTCAAATCAAACTCGTAGAGTTTTACTTCCCTCATCACTTATTGTATCTTGCTCACTTGTTCCTCGCGAACTTCCATTCAATCCCTCACGCGGCCACAGCGGGGCTTACTCGAATATCACCGAGATCATAATCCCTGCACACTCACGTTTCGCTCACCTCGATAACTATGGCGACTTCAATTGCTCGCGTACGGGCGGTGGCGAAGCTTCCAGGGCAGCTTCGGACGTTCAGCTCTACACCCAGAGTTGCTTCTGCAACAGGGGGAGTGAAGCGATTGGGTGTCATCGGTGCTGGGCAGATGGTGAGAGAACCCGCGAATTAGCATGTGAATATGCGGCATCCAGAAACCTGACGGGTTCAAATCTAGGGACTCGGCATCGCGCTTGTGGCTGCTCAGAGAGCTCAAGTTCCCGTAACACTTGTCGATGCAAACAAGACGGCCTTGGATAAGGGTCTTGCATTTGCGGGTGAGTGTTCAACGACACACTGGTAACGAGTTCCGTTCGCTAACACCTCAACAGAAAAGCTTCTTGCAAAGGATGTTTCCAAGTCCAGAATCACACAGGAACAGGCCGACAAGGCCCGCTCGCTGTTGTCTCCAGCCACGTCTATTGATGAGCTGTCGGATGTGGACTTTGTCATTGAGGCCGTTCCTGAAATCCCTAAGCTCAAGTTCGACATCTTCTCCAAGCTGGCTGAGGTTTGCCCGAAGCATGCCATCTTGGCCACCAACACTTCATCCATCTCCATCACCCGCATCGCCGCCTCCACCACCCAAGACCCGACAGACACCTCCGCGAGCTCCCGCGTCGTCTCAACTCACTTCATGAACCCCGTCCCGATCCAGAAGGGCGTCGAGATCATCAGCGGTCTGCAGACCAGCCAGGAGACGCTGGACAAGGCCGTCGCGTTCTGCAAGGCCATGGGCAAGGTTACCTCTGTATCCGCCGACTCCCCCGGATTCCTCGCGAACCGTATCCTCATGCCGTACATCAACGAAGCCATCATCTGCCTGGAGACCGGCGTCGGCGACAAGGAGTCAATCGACGCCATCATGAAGAACGGCACCAATGTTCCCATGGGCCCTCTGCAGCTTGCCGACTTTATCGGCCTGGACACCTGCCTCGCTATTATGAAGGTTCTTCACGAGGAGACTGGTGACTCAAAGTACCGGCCGAGTGTGTTGCTGCGCAAGATGGTTGATGCTGGTTGGATGGGAAAGAAGAGCGGAAAGGGATTTTACGACTACTAAAGCAGAGATGGGATGTTGGAGTTGATGGTGAGCAAATTTTACTAATAAGTCGGACCATCTAATACGAAAAGTGATAGATAGTTCTCAGTAGTAAGCTCAAGAATTGGATGCATCGCAATGCACAAGACCTCTGTCATCATGAAGTAAGGCGTTGAATTCACGCATGTCCACGTGCGTTAAATCACAGATTACATTGATGAAGTGAAGTGTGTATTCTCACTTGAAGCAGACTCTTCCGAGCCCACTCTGGCATACAACTATGCACATGGGAATACCTCTAGTCCGAACCAACAGGCTCAAAAGCTGATGAGATGAATGACGGACATATATGCCCCAGGTAGCAAAGTACTCGTACAAGCACTCAAATGGGATGCGTTAATACCATTTGATGACTTGAACATCTCAAAATAATGGCGAAAAACGAACCCATAGCCTCGTACATTCTCAAATGATAATGAGTACTAAAGTATAAAGTACTACTTATGAGTGACATACTTGCCAGAGTCACGGGCCAAGTTAGGCGTGACATGAGCCAGAAGGTTCGAAAGGTATGGCCAAAAACCTCGGGCGGCTCTGATCTTGACGAATTCACGATTCAAGATGCGGCTGGTAATGCGGCTGAACGGTCTAAAGGGGTGCCCTTTTTCAGCAAAAGCTCCGTATAGTTAAAGAATCTTGTTGCAGAATTCAGTCAAGGAGATACGTATATGCTAGTATACGCTAAAGGGGAAGTCTTTCTGGGCGCCTATGATCACCTCGGAAGAAGTGTGACACAGACATATTTGCTAGAGGATCCCATGCTGCTTTCATCTGCACATAACACTACCATTAGATCCAAGTATCTTTGGAAAACCAGATTGAATTCTTCCAAATGCCTTCGAGCTACGAAAGAGTGTACACGCTTGGGCGTCCAACTCGCCGCAAGCAGCTCCCTCCAAAACATAGACAGAGTCCATTCTGAACTCGTTCATTGGAAGCCAAGTTTCGACTACAGCAGCAAATTCCAAGCTCAAGGGGCGGCAAGTTTCGAAGTAGGTGCAATTAGGGGCTAAGGTTTCCCCGTGACTCCTTATCCCCAGAGTACTCAAGGCTGGACTTCAGGACGGGACGGGATGTCAGGCCTTGGAACCATCCATAGCCCACCATCATTTGTTTAAGAAACACATCAAACACGTGGGAATCATGGAAACATCTTGAGTAAGTGGTCAGCCATAGTCACAGCACGTGAAAAGAAAACCAAGTCGCGGGTTGATAACGTCTATTCGCCACGCTCGAAAAGGAGTAGCGCAGGGAACTGGATGTTTCTCGCACGAGATGTATTCTCAGAATGGTGAGTTGAACGAACGACATATGTGCATTTAACAGACGCACGGAGATACTTGCGTTTCCTTGAAGCTTAGATCCCAGCTTCGAGCTATTCATCAACCTGCAACATCTGGTCGAGTAAGCCAAGGTGAGAAGAACACTGCTAAGGGTCCCAATTGCTGGCCATTCATCACCAGACAGTAAGTCTCGGCAAAGCAATGCTCCCACCGGCCGAGCTTCAGAGAAGCAGCAAACTTAGTTGGTGTATATATGACATTCACGCAAGGTAGAGAAGCCAATACATGACATAAGGGGTTATGAAGCAATACCAAGAAGGCGACATTCCTGCCAAACTCTGAAAAGCTTGGATGAGGACCTCCATGGCTTCCAATATGGGCCAAGAACTATCAATATCATCCGTTCTACACTTCTTGATTTAGGATTAAGATGACATACGATGATGATGTCGTCCGATCATGCCTAGTTTCCCCCAGGAACAAAGACCAAAAAAAAAGTCATCCGAACGAAGTCTGGTCCAGAACTGATCTACACGTAACTTGGGACGGCAGTTCACAGACGCCCGCAACGTTTCTTCGCCACTTGGCCCCCATATATATATCGGATTGAGAGTTTCATGATCTACAGCGTGCCGTGCGTGCCTGGCACAGGGACAGGAAATCTCGGTAAGAGGTAAACAACATCCACGGGAAAACATGATGCTAGTTTCTCCGGCATCACCAAACGATGTCGACACATCTGAAGGTGGCATGAGAGGGGAAAATCCGAAGCCAAGGCCAGATTGGCCCAGCCCCGTTCCACGTGGTTTCTGTAACTACGCATGACGACGTCGAACCTGTTTACGTGGGAAACCCGAACGTGCCTGTCTCGACACGAATCCACGTATTCCCATCCGGCCCTCTCAGCCTCTACCCTGCCCCATCTCCCCCATCTGAAGCCGGGCCAAGAAGCCAGGCCGCGGAGTGGGGTCGTATAAAGCAACCGTGAACGGAATGGAAGAAGGCAGTGCAGTTTGAAAGAGGCTTCCCGAGAGAAGAGGGACCAATATATCGGACACTCGGGACAGCGGGAGGGCGAAACGAAGCGGCGTGGGCCACTCTGACCTCCGGGGACTTGTGGCTCCCATCCCCGAACACGCACGCGTAGTTGGCCAACGCCCGCCCGCCACCGGGGGATATGTGTAGTCCGAGCCGAACAAGACGTCGCCGGTGTGCGGGAAGAAGAGATTCTTCTCCTCCCGTCTTGGGTGGGAGCCCGTCCTGGAGCTCAATGCCGAGTGGGAGGTGTCAAGAAACCAACCAACGACAAGGGCAAAGGGCCGCGGCAAAACTTCAAGTACTTGGACGAGTTTGGCAGTCCTTTCCCTCGGTATAATGCCTTCTTTCGAGCGTCAAATGAGCGGCCGATCAGGCAATGAGAAGCTAGAGCTACGGTTTACTACCATGAACGACCGGATCATGCGCTGCCCGACCGTCTCCGACGGCAGAGACCACAGATCCCACCTCCCCTCCCCTCTCCCTCCTTGCACCATGCTATCAGATCCGAACATCATTGAAGGGAGATTTACCGGCCGAACGTCGATCGCTGATACCCCTCCCCGCCTGGAACGAGCCTCCCTCCCGATGACGAGCAAGCCGTTTGTCACCCACCCCCGAGTCTCCCGCGGCGGTCTCTACAAACATGCAGACACACACATACACACACACATGTGCACTTACGCGCAACAAGCCGACCCCCCTCCCCTTCGTTGGACCTTGGAAAGACTTCCTTTTTCGGGAATGGTCACGATGTGAAACGCGGCGGTGCGGGGGAGCAGAACAAAAGAACTGGGCTTGCTCCAGATGGACGGGAAGACGCGTAACGTCTGCAACACTACGTAGGGAGGGATTCGAGAGCGAGATAGAGAGCCGCAAACGATAGCAGCCATAGCATAGAAGGGAAGAGAGGGGCGGTAGACCATTCCACCCATCGTCAAACATGGCGAGAAACGACGGAATCTCCAGCGGTTGGTGGATTCGAACCATGTGTGACGCGAAGGCTGTTTGGCAGCATGTAAATGATTTTCAAAACTCCGCACGCGGCACAGCCTTTTCTCTTCGCGAACAATGAAATCGAGACCGAGGTCGCGCGGAAGTTCCCTCTGTATACCTTCGGGTTCTAGGTTTTGAAAGTTCTCCCATGCGCCCCTCCTCCTCAACCCGGAGAAACCTGTGATTTGTCGTTGGTTGCTAGACTAGGTTGTGGTGTGGTGTCGGCAAGGTCGTTTGCTATCACGTCGCCAAGAGGCGGTTGATGAGAGCTGCACCCCCTACCAACTGCTTTTTCATTCTTTGTCTGCGGGTGACGTCGCGGATGCGGCACGGGCAAGGTCTTTTTTCTTGACACGAACTGCCATCCTTGATCCTAGCGGGAGGGATTTCTCGTCGTTGGAGAGCCGCGCAAGGGACAATGAGCCGATTCCCAGACCAACTAGACCCTGTCTATCACCAAAGCTGTCCAACACTGGCAAAGCACTTGCAACAAGCTCCAGCAGTTTCGCGAGATAGAGTGCATTCAAGAAGGTAGAGCGGCGGTTGCCCATGCTGACCATGTTCTAGAAGATCTATTGTAAGGTTTTGCGGCGAGGATGAAGACCAGACGAGTTTGGTGAGAGCTATAGTAGATAGCTTTCGCCGCGGGTTCCGTGATGGCGGGACGGGGAGGAAGACGGGGTCAGGGCAGGGCAGGGCCTTGAAAGTTGGCGTAAAGAGGCCAGTCAAGGGCACGTGGCGATGGTGGTCATCTCGATGATGGCCATGCCATGCCATGCGGTATGCCATGTCCACGATACGATGGATGAACCGAGCATGGCATGCATGGCGGGGATGAGCATGAGCAGGTTCGGGGAAGAGGGGAGAGCTGGAACTGGCCTGGGCTGTCACTGGGCTGAGATGGGGCCAAAAAAGAGAATGTGTGTATAATTAGCCCTCGGATGATGCTATTTCGAACAGATGGGCCATGGGTCATGGGAGGGGGGAGTCGGGGAGGAGGAATATCAAGTTGGGGTTCGGTTGCAACGTGGATGGAGGTGTAGTGGGCTCAAGACGGAAGATGTGCGTGATGGATGTGGCAGGATGATGGGACGAAAAGTCACGAAATGGGACTGATGATGGCAAGAGGTTCGCATTGAAGTGACGGATGTGGAATGGAGTATGGAGTTTGGGATGAGCGGGAATGCCGTCGTGCCATCGGGTGTGGTGTGGTAAAACAGGCACGGCAGTCGTCTTCAGACGTTAGTCGTCTCAAGTCAGCCTTAGCAACCCCAGTTGGGAAGGCAGCCAACTGCCAAGCACAACCTATGGGAAGTCACCAATTGGACCAATTGATACTGGTTATTACTTCCTAATACTATCAAGTGCAGTCAGACCGACGATGAGGTAATCATGCAAGGTACGGAGTACCGCGGCTTACCTTAGCATCGTGTGTTAAGCCCAAGGTATATCCGTACTCCGTATCCGTACCTACTTCGTACATAGGTAGGGTGCCAGGTACTGCGTAACATACCTTACTACGGACTCGTATGAATGGCGGAATAAGGTAGCGTGTCGACATCAATAGCATCACCCGTGTTATACCTACCTTACCTTGCGGCTTGGCCTTGCGTCCCTCCTCACAGTGAACTCACGCAGTAAGGCGACTCTAGAGTCTAGACAGAAGCGAATGACACTAGGTAGTGTAACTTTCCCCCATGTCAGGATTCGCCTTGGCCCGCCCAGATGATGCCTGGCGATTGCGACTCATAAATGGGGTTTTAAGATGTGCTAAGACCGACCCTAACGCGCCTTTGCCGAAAGCTGGGCTGATGGAGAGTTGAGGTTGGTTCCATTTCCCCCAATGACTTTCCAGCTCGTTGTCTATCCTAGCTGGGGAATCTTCTTAACTCAGCTCAACTATTGAATACTCTCTCTCTCTCTCGGTTCTCCAAGGCTTCCCGAACAACCTAACCAATCTCCCCCCACCCGTACCTTACTCGAGTGACAGCAACCTTCCCCGTTGCGTGCAAGGCACCAGGCACAGGGCCACACTACAGCGAGAAAGCTGCCTTCACTGCAACCATAGTCTGCTAGGGTATACAGTAAGTCACGGCAGTCCCGGGGGTGAACTTGTCAGAGGCTCTTATAGCTATACGGCACACCCAGGGCAAAGACAGGGCAGGGCCGCCGCCAGAACCTGGGGACCAGGGATTGACACTAAAATTGGGCGTGGACATCGAGTGGGCATGGGCAAGCTTCGGCGGAGTAAGGCCCGTCAAGGCCGGCCTCTTTTTTTCTTCTTCTTTTTTTTTTTTTAATTGGTGAGTTTAGTTTGCTGAGTTGTAGACTTTGTTGTTGTCTGTTGCTTTTTTTCTCCTTCGCGAGTTCCATTCCCCTTCTCTCATTTCGGAGGCTCCTCTCTCGGAGCATCGTCTCTGAAATTCCCCGTGCTGTTTCCTTCTCCTATCCCCGTCTAGGTTCTTCTTCGGGGAAAAAAGAATGGGGGAAAGTGGGGGATTGGGACCGTGAGCACACTGGGAGGCGGTTTGAGTGCGGTGGGAATTTCCATCTCGCTTTTACGACTGCAAGGAGCGTTGCCTCACAGACGACACCCAAGAAGCAATAAAAAAATCGAGGGGAAACTCAATTCAGCAGGTAGAATTGCTACCCGTCCAATGGTCACTGGTCACATACACGGTAGCCAGCCGCGCCATGCGGAGGAAGAATGCCAAGACAAAGGGGAAACGGGGGGTAATGGGCAGAAGGAAAGAAAAACAGAGGGGATCCGTAACATGAAGAAAAAGGAAGCAAAAAGGATCCGGCAGTGGTGGAAAACCCGAGTGGTGGAGCCGAAGCAAATACCGGCGGCCGGCAGCTTCAAATCTTGTGCCGCGGCCTAGGCCATGCCATGCCATGCCATGACCATTAATGACAAGCCTTTCTTTGCCCTTCTACCCTCCTTGGATAATGATGGTCCAATCCCACGATAGGTACCCGCAAAAAGAAAGGAAATGTCCAGACCGCACCTCAACCTCGAGTTACTGCGTCTTATGTGACATTCCCTACAGATAGTACAGTCCGGCTTCCGTCATCGTACCCACGATACCTTCTCTCACCCGGGCGGGAAATCACAGGAATCCAGATTTCAGGGCCCCCAGTGCTCACCTCACCCTCGATACTGGGAATCGGGACGCTGGAACAGTGGACGCCGCAACGGGATCCTCTTGCAGTCATTACGGATGCCGCCTATCTCTGATGACACTGTCGCAGTCCAGGCCGACGTGCACTAGCACCGCGTCCCCGATTTGCTGCAAGCAAGTATCCGCACCCATTCCCATCCGCACAACAACCGGGGGGCAGCTATCTCTCCACCGCGCTGCGACCTCCCGTCGTCGACGTCGACTCAAGACTTCAACCCATATCCACCCACTTACTGCTTGGTGGAGTGAAAGCTGGTGGAGAGCGCGATGAGCCTAGCGAGGTCTATGTATTTCACTTTCAACTTCTCATCAACCCATACCCATACACCCAGGGCCACCACCTTGGCGTCCGTGTCGGTGTCTCCAAAGTCCCAGAGTCAGGGCAGAGAGGCTCATCTGCCCACGCTGTCAAGGGTTGTTGCAAACTCACGCCTTCTCCGCCTTGTCTCGTCAGACGACCAGCACCTGAATCGCCGCGCATTAGAATCGTCGTGAAGAAGGTTTAGCACCATGCCTCATCAGTAAATGATCACAGCCGATGATAGGAGTTTGACAAACGCAACAAGCACCGTTGCTAGTGTACTTCGTGCATCTGACGAGACCCGCATCGCATTCGCACGAGTCTAGCCCGGAGTTGCTGGAATGCCCAGATATCGGGTTCCCGCTCGTAGTTGTCGCATTTCGAGATTATTCCCCATGCACTCCGCCGCCCGCGTAGAAGACGACGTGAGCACTGAGTCGTTGTCGTTCGGGTTCCTCATGCTGGGACTCTGCGGATGTGGGATTTGACGACAAGTCATTAGGAACAGCCGGCGGGGATATCGGAGAGTGGGACGGTACGAGACGAAACGAAATGAGATGAGCGCAAAGTCGAGCTATCGAGCTTCGTCCACTCCGAAGCCGTCGCTCTCACCGTCAATGTCACGACGACTAGACTCCAAAGCCACCCCGAGCCACGTTGCAGAACAGTAGAACCTGGGGCTTGGCGACAAGGCTGTTTGCTGTTCTGATTCACTGGTTCACTGGCGAGCTCAGAGCTCCAAACTCGGAGCTGAGACCGAGGAATGCGAACTCGGAATGAGTGTCTGTTCCCACGCCCACAAACTGGATCCAGAGCCACGGATCGTAAAATAACGTTCAGTGACACGGAGCGCGGTGAGGTAAAGCAAGCTTGTTGCGACGTCTCACAAGGCTCAGGCGCAGGGACTTTTTGGCCTCCCGCTCGTCGGATACTAAGGTTAGGTGCTCCATAGTGTAGATAGACAGTTGGCGGCGGGCGAATAGATGAGACCGGCCGATGCAATTCATTTCAAAAGTCAGATTGCCTTAGTGGGCGGGTATTCGGCGGTATGGTAAGGGTAGGCAATTTGATGAAAAACAATAACAGTAAGGCAGAGGCTGCTGCAGAGGCCGTCAAGGTTGACCGTCGTCGTGATCGATGGTGGCAGTGTTCGCAGAGGGTCCCTCTACAGGCAAGGTACTGTATCCATACTCCGTACTCCGTACATCGAAGTTTCCAGGTTGCAAGAGCAATTCGTTGACCGCTCGACCAGGGTGATGCTCGTTGGTCGGGGCGACTCGTATATCCGTGTCCGAGGAGCTGGAAGGGTTCAGTGAAGTCTGTGAAGGGGGAACGTCCCGACTGGACCGGTGGCCTGGGATGGCATGGGATACGTACCTGAGTACCTTCTCACCGTTCGGATGCCACCTTACCTAATATCGTCCGATCGGCACCTTCAGCCTGGGCTCCCCTGGCGGTGCCTGGGAAGTGGCATGGGCCCCGCTCTTTCCTGGCTCTTTTCGGGATGTAGTGGTTAATGTGGATAAAGGAATAAGATCCACTTGAGAAATAGGGAACCCGTCACTCTTTACGCATAAATGAATACGCAGTACCTATGAACCTTGGACCCTCCACACCTCACGCCCAAAACTGCCTAAACCCAATCCAATGTAGGTATGCGAACAACGCACCAAAGCTCGGCACTGGTACCCAAAAGTGCCCACGGCGTTGCAACGGTGCCGGGGGAGAGACCGAGTGAGGACCTCAGAGCGGTTGAGAGTCCCCGTCGCGGACGACCATCGAAACGGAGCAGGCCCGCTGACGACCGAATACCACTCTGGTTCCTTCCGGAGAGGTGGGCGGACAAAGTTGCAACGAGGTCAAGGACCAAGACTCGAAAGAGGCACACACGCACCGAAAGGGACAGATGCCCAGAGAGAAAGAGGACAGAATGGTACGTCAGTGGTAAGACGATGGCCCTGCCGAGCGGAGGCTCTTACAAGATACCAGTCCCCCCGGGCCTCGGCCCTTGAGTCCTTTGATTTGATTTCTAGATCGCACCATCTCCGGATCCCGCGCATCTGAAGCATCGGCAGACGTCTACCAGGTGCCTCGCGTCATGTCCCGCCGTGCCGTGCCCACCGCAGTCCATAGCCAGATCATATTCTTCCATGATCCATCCCATGGCGGGCGGCATGGCCCCGGTCTTCACTTCGGCTTCTAGTGGACGGAATCACGGATACGCATCGAGAGCCTCCATGAAGCTAGGGATCATACGGACCAACGCGGACTACGGACAAATTCGCAAAATCGTTAGCTTGACACAGTCCCGCGATGGGACCATCATCATCCATGACCTTGAATTATCGTGGCCGATGCCGCCATGCACGACAGAATCTTCTTCCAAGGGAATCCACCCCTTTTTGCTGCTTCAGTATCAGCATGCCAGGCAAGCCTTTGATTACAAGCTTGTCAGTGTCGTCTGCTTGCGAGATATCCGCACCATGATGCAGCAGGGGCCTTTTTTGGAATTGCCTCATTTGGTTTGGTCGCTGCCCACAAGAACCCCCCGTGCCAAATCTTCCACTGCTCAGAAGTCTTCCTGGGATCCTGGAAGCTGGCACTGGCAGACAACGATATCCGCACACACCGCAACTGCAAAACCCGGGCACGTCTTGGCAGCCATGGACCAGCAGCGATGCCCGTTTGCCAACTTGTCGTCAGGTCCTTGAGCTTTCATCTCGTCTTCGGCTTCATCGTCTCCACAAGTGCACGCACATCAACGGTTCCGTTCCAAGTCATGATCTCACGCTTGAGCCAGTGCAAGGTGGTATCTTTGTCTTGGACGGTATCCATCGCCCTCATCTACCATGAAACTTGTTGTTGAAGACTTCAAAGTTCACGGACGCCAGATACCGTTGGTGGCATTCAGGGTGCCAAGCAGCGATTCAACGAAAAATCTCGCCCCCCTGCCCCCTTTCACTTCCCTCGTCTTGGAAAAGTTGGGGATTCAGGACCGGCACTCGAAAGGCTTGTCGAGGGAAGCCCTGCTCGCACTGCAGCCGCACCAACCAACCCGCTTGACCTGCTCGTCCCGTCGCTGGTGTGACAAGCCATGCCGAGCATTCGGCCACCCGTCTGTCACCTGGAATTGACATGGCCTCGTCGCACAAAGTGGCAATTTGGTGCTTTTTGCTCAAGGCCGGGAAACTCTGTCATCGCACGGCCGCTAGCGCTCGCCGACCTTGAGAAGACGACGCATCCCGGGACCTCCCTGTCCAACGGCTTTCAAGCCTGCTTGCCTCTAATCTTGACCGAATATCTCGAGTCCTCGTTGGTCAGATGCGCACCAAGGCCGCCCACAATTCAGACCGAGCTTCTCCCATCGCCGCAATGCAAGTCCATCGCAGTGGCGAAGACCACAGCCACGCGTATTGTGCGCGGTCGGGCGCGGGCACAAATGCAGTCGCACATGGTCGAATCCTGCAACTTCTAGACATGCAAAGGCTTGCGCAACAGTGATGCTAGCAGCTTAGCAGCCTCGGCGATGAAAAGTTGTAACTTCAGCTCCACTTGACTTGGCTTCTAATCACCGTGGAGACACATGACTCTGGGGTGATTGGAAGATTCTGAGACTTCTGAGGGCAACCTTCATCACCGCAAGGGGCACTGGAACCGAGGGCCTTGACTTCGAATGGCAGGTAAAGGCGAGTCCGTTACGGCTGCAACCCTCGAGTCCTATTCATAGCCGCCCGAGGTCCACAGTGCCGAGGGTGACGAGAATGGGCTCAGCGGACCGGTCACCGACGACCAGAGTCGGGGAGAGAAACCTACGTTGGCTTCAACGGCGCGGATCGCGATCCATGCCATGTCCTCTTCAGCCCATGTTCTTCGCCCGTACTGCATGTCACTTGGCATCGACAGAAGCGCCGCCGCACTCGTGCGCACCTGTCTCGAATTCTAGACGCGATACAACACCAAACCATCCGCACCCACCACATTCGGCCTTTGCTTGAAGAGCCTCAGATGCGCCCATGCCCGGCCCTGGTCACCGGCCCCCCGGTGCTGTCTCTGGCGGCACAGGCGTGTTCACATGGCCGCTCCCCGAAACTGCATCTATTTCCGCCGCCGACGCGGCTACCTGCTCGTGGCTGCGGCTCTCCGTCGACTTGACACAGACCAACGATTGCTCTCCGAAAGGCGGGTGACGGTGGATCTGATGCTATTTTCTGCTTGTACGCATCGAATAGAGTGACTGTAAGCAGGCAATGCAGGCTGAGGTTTCGATCCTCCCAAGACTCTTGAAAGACATTTCACGTTATACAAACAGATCCGACGACGGCTTTGAAGTCATCACCGGGTAATCGCTGTTTGTCGGGCGGCGGCCAGCGTCTGCACCGTGACTCGAGTGGCCAAAGCCGCAGCCGCAGCAGCCGCATCCCGGAGTGTGGCTGCTCTCTGGTCTACCGTGTGGCCCCCTTTGGCTTTTACACGCCCTAAGTTCGTAACTGCAGCACTGCTTATGTGTTTGGACGAGGTGGCGGGATGTAGAAGCCGGGAAAGCAAAGGCGAAATAAGCAAGTTGTCCCAGGCCTGCAAATGCAGTATCCATGTCTGCGTACAGATCACACAAACACACGCACAAACTCCTTGTTTTGCAGATCGCGGGTTGGACAAGAGTTGCGTTGCGTTGCGTTGGTTCTGCCAATGTCATCTCGTACGGGCGTACGTACGAACCAACCGACTGTACTGAACTGCCGTTCTCCAATTTCCCCGTTGTCGAGGAGGCAATCAGAATCAATCTTGCATCTGCGCACACCAACTTCTAGACACCAGCTTTTCTGCTTTCTATCCCTCCTCTCTCCTTGCTCCAAGGCGTCGTCACTCCTTGCTAGCGCATTGGGCATCCTAGGATCATTCTGCAGTTTGATGCCGGCTTCGAGTACCGGCTGCATCCACTGTTTGTCAGACAGGTCAGGTTGGCAGGTCCAACGACAACGATAGATGAGCCGAGACTCGAGACTCGAACGAGATTATCGACAGTCCCTGACTGACGCGGACTGCAATCAGCATGCACCTGCAATCCCAAGGCATGGCAACTGAGACACGCCAAAAGTCCCGCCTCGCTGGATCAAGGTGGATTGGAGATTTGCCAAGACTCTTGGAGGGTGAAGGTGATGGGCAACACGCAGGTACGCCAGTTAGCGTACTGGTAGCCACACGCATGCCGGGGTTGCTGTCGAATGGGCAAGTTGTAACGAAGAGATTCTTGCGCGCGCGCGTCTGCAGGGGTGCGTGGAACGGCAAGTTTGGACGAAGTGCTCGCTGAGCCATGGCCCCACGGTTGCCGCGCTGTCGGAACCTCTTGGATCTCCCTAGCGCGTCTGGCTGGCGATTCAGAGATCTCTGGGAAGCAGAACCAGGTATTCCCTGACAGGCTCTTGTGTCAAGTTGATGGCCCGACGGGGCGCCGGTAGATTTGGCGCCCTTCTGTCTTTCCCACCCGCTCCCTGCCACACCGAAAACGCCCAGCTGTCCTCCGGTTCGACTCAGGTACCTTGGACTTGAACAACGAGACTTCGGGTAGCCCGTGAACAGCTGTTGCAACGGCTGGCGAGTGGCTTGCAGACTTACCCAGTTGTGTACCGAGCGAGTCTCTCTTCGGACTTGCCTGCGATCAACATCAACGGCAGCCCGATCTTGAAGCAAGTCACCCTGTCCCGGTCGATGGTGGTGCTGTGGTGGTATGTCTTGCCTCTGTCTCTCATGCCTTGGCTTCCTCGGAAAGCTGTACGCTACCTATGCGACGGAGTAATTCATACGGACTCTCAGTATTATCGTACAGACTAAGAAGTACGAACACAGACGCAGCGTAAGCCAGCCAGCCCGCCGTCCCAACCAACAAACAGTCAGCCTCTAGGGCGAGGCTCGCGAGCAAAGCAGGGAAAGCAACAAGCAGTAACATGCATTGACGGATGTGGCGTCCGCGAACGCTCCTGCGTCTCATGGATGGGCCTGATGGACCTTGATGAGCCTGATACCTGACGCCCATCACCCGTTCCTCTCATCTTGGAGCTGTTCTTTGGGATCAACACAGGCATGGCACCATTCCTCAACCCGGTCGGAACAACATTTCGAGCAAAGTTTGGGAAACGGCATGCACATCAAAGTCCACCACGATTGCTCCTGTCAAATGGTCTTGTCGTCTCTTCTCCTGAAATGCATGCAGCAGTGCCGGAAAGAAGTCCACGGGTGGCGTTCCTGTATGACAGGGCACGCCGCACACGGACGGCCGTCGCGGAGATGGATTCCCACTCTTCTGCGCGACGAAATTGGACAGGACCCGGCGACCGCACGACACGATCCACACACCCGTGGGTTGACCCAACCCACACGCAGCATTGCTCACTTACGTTTGGCCCCATGGGTTGGGTTGCTGTCGGTTTGTTGTCCCGATGACGAGAGCAAAGGGCACCGGGGCCGGGGCAAGCCTTAGCCAAGGCAAGGGCAAGGTGAGGCGAGACGAGGCGACGCGTCCGAGAGTCAAAGACTTGAGAGGAGGGAAGTGAAAGGACCGGTCCATCATGAGATTTCCAAGAAGAAAACACACCGACAAAAAAGCAACAGAGTGACAACCGACATGTCTTTTGGTGTTACGTCTGTGGCCATTGTGCCCCATTTTTTTCTTTCGCTATCTCACCCGGTTTCTGTTGTGAGAAGCTGGTCAATTGGTCATGCTGGATGTCACTTTGGACGGGCGGTAACTCTTTGCAAAGCAAGACCATTCCTGTTATTCGTTCATCTCACCGTTTTGGATTTTCGAATATCTGAACATCAGATGGCAGCAGGCTTCCCTCGGTCTGAGGTTCCTGCGACCGAGGACATCCCCGAGCGGCAGAGAGTTTGGCATTGCCAGGCCCCCGACATTCCCGACAACGCCGCGCCGCCGAGTCCGGATCTTGTCATTTTGACTTTGGGGGTCCATCCTTACAGATGTTCTACACGTATGGTACGGGATAGATGGGCTAGGCATTTTTCCGCACTGCAGTATAACGACTGTAGACTCTGGTGACGTGAGAAGCATCAAACGGTACACTAGCGTGTAGCTGGGCCGTTAGTCCCCCTCGCTTTTTCACTCCGAGTACAGTCTCGTCTCGTCTCGTGATGTCTCTCTCTCTCTCTGTGCGTGTGTCTTTTACCCATCATCAGCCACGAACCGATTCCTGCATCACAGTCATCACGCAAGGCGGCCGCGAAGGAGCGAAACGAAGCGGATGCGATGATGCGAAAGTGGGATCCCCTAATTCCCCATCCGCATCACCAGCATGTAAGGTACATCACCCCCCCCCCCCCCCCCCCCCCCCCCCCCCCCCCCCCCCCCCCCCCCCCCCCGCGCGGGGGCGGGAGGGGGAGGGGGGCGGGCGCCCCCCCCCCCACCCGGCCGGGGCGGGGCCCCCCCCCCCCCCCCCCCCCCCCCCCCCCCCAAACCCCTGCTTCACGCGCTCGCATCGCTCCGCGGGGGAAGAGGAAGAGGGAGATGACGGCTGGCTGCCCTGTCACTCTGGCAGGCCTGGCCTGATGAGGGGCCTACGATCACCCGCCCGTCGTCGTCGTCGCCGCCGCCGCCGCCGCCCCCTGTACGGATGACGAGGAAGATCCCTTTTTTCTGATGCTGCGTCGATTTGCTTGCTCTTCGAGTCTCTTCCCGCACCCAGCCCAACGCTGATGTGAACGACCAACGACTGACCCCGGTCCGCAAGCGTACCCCGGCATAGGATGAAACCACGGTTCGTATGCCCTTCCCCTCCGCTCTCACCCTGGCCAGAGGATGCCAGATGGAAGCCTTCTACGGCCAAATCTGAGCACGGACATTTAGCAGCAGCAGGTAGTTGTTGTCTTGTCTGCAGTGTGTGCTGCACGCAACGCAGCTTCAGCGCCTGAGGAGCGAGGTGCAGTGCAGTGCATTCAGCGGAAGGAGGATCGTGGAGTGTTGTCGTTGGTGTTGTGTATTAGTCCCACGCCCCCTTATTGAAGGTCAAGTGGACGATTGTCGCTGCTGGCGAGAAGTGAGTAAAAACCCCGACGGCGACGGCGCCTATGTAATGTGCGTATGACTTGTATGTAGGCATGTATGTATGTATGTATGTATGTATGTGTGCATGTATGCTTTTCTGTGTGTGTGAGTGTGATGGATTTCCCTCCGATGAAGGAACGTTTCTGGTTCGTTGGTTCCTGGAGACCTGAGAGATCTTCACTGCTCGTTACCATATCCTATCGTTCTAGGCTCGGTCGGTCAGCCTCCTTGTGTTTGGGTGTGTGTGTGTGTGTGTTCCGAGCTCCGTTCTCCCCATTCTCACTTCTCTCTCTGTCTCCCCCGCTCACGATGCAAGGGGGGAAGTGGAGGGGCACCGTGTGCAAACTTGAAGAGAAGAGCATAACTCGACGGCTTCTTAATTTCTGAATCTTGCGGGGAGAGAGTAAGAGAGTGCGAGTGACGTTTGGTTTAGGGGGTACGGATAGATGAACCACGCATATGCCGTCATTGTCACCCGAAGCGTAGGAAAGCAGAAGAGCCAAAAGAAGAGTTGCAGTGGTTGACTGCTTCTTGTTTACCCGTACCCCGTATCCCTTTCCTCCTGTTCTGAGGGTAATTACAAAACTTTTCGGCACACGAGTGATTGGTCCTTGCATGAACTTGTCTCTCTTGACTGTCTGTGTGTACGGATAGAAACAGGACAGGACAGGACAGGATCAGACAGACACGGCTCAACTTTTTTTCTTGAGATGATCGGCAGGCTCGGTACTCCATAGCTTGTTGGGAATATGGAAATCGTTCCCGAGGCGAGTGCGTGTGTGAGAGCACTCAGGCACTCACTCGGACGGTAGTGTAGACCAGATGGCAGAGGAAGGGCCCAGCGAATTCAGGTACCGAGACACCACACCGCAGATACAAGTGCCATCATCCATGGCGAGGCAAGCAAGCAAGCAGCAGCTTTGGATCATGTATGGATGGATGGAGTGAGGAAGAGGTTACACCGTGACCCCACCACGAAATGGGCGGGAAGCATCGCGCGCACCATTGCCCTCTCCCAAGACTACTCCTCCAAGACCAAGACCACCAAGAGGTAAGACGACAAGGAAAAAAGCTCGGAGGAGGATGAGCCCTTTCAGCCTACGGCTCGTTCGGGCAGCTTTCCAACCTGACCTGACCTTACCCAGCACCAGTGCGGCACCACCACATCGACGCATCGCATCGCTCGCTGCAACGCTACCGCTCTTTTCTTAGCTTTTCGCTTCTCATGCTACCCTTGCTTGGTACCCCGGTACGAAGTATAGCTCTCGTCGAATGTGGTGCCTCTTCTCGGAATTCCCTGATGGAACAACACGCACATACACGCGCGCACACACACGTTCACAACATCACACCAAAGAGTACTCTGTACTTTCCAAAACTCTCGGCATATACCTCACTGCAACACACATTCAACATGGTAAAACGAAGTACCTCATAAAATTGCTCGAACACACAAGCTGGAGAAGAGCTTCCCGTCGTTCCTGGGGACCGGGTGGCCCATGTAAGCGGCCCTGACGCCCGTCGTTCGCAACCTCTCCTCCCCACGTCCATCACGGCATTGACGAGCGTGGCACCTCTTCAGCCTGGCATAGATTGGAAATGACCGGGACTTTTTTTCGACAACAGCTAAGCTAAGCTAGCCTAGTGTCCGATTCTCAAACACAGCTTCTCTCTCTCTCTCTTGTTGCTTTCTTCTTCATGTCTCTCTTGGTCCGATCGAATCAAAATGCACGTGGAGATTGGAATCTCGCGGACGTGCCGGACAAGGCCCGCAGTGCCAGGTCGGGCACCCCCCCCCCCCTCCCTCCCCGGAGACTTCAATATCCCAAGTGCCGTGCTGTCAGAAGAGAAGCTACAGGAAAACTAATTAACCAGCTTTTCCGTTCGGTCACGTACATTTGGCATATTACACACACGCCGTAGACGAATCTGACCGCCTTCTTGTCCGCCGCCAAACTCGTTCGATCATTCCGGGGGGAGGGTTTGGCTCCAGCACGTCACCCAAGGCGACTTGGAGTAATAACCTCAGTTTGCGTTTGCCCGTTGGCTGGTTAGCTTAGTTAGCTCTATCTCTCTTTTCCCATCTTAAAATCTTTCGATAGCGGTAGTGCGCCGCGCCAAACCGTGAGCTTAAATCACGCCGCCTCATCACGCCAGATCAGACACATTAATCACACAGACGGCGCCTTCGTTGGAACACTTGGAAGCTCGTTTTCGTTGTTCTACGCGAGCACTAGAAGGCCGCTACCGCTACGTTGTAATCCACTTTTGCTCTTGCTCGAGACCACTAAGTTTCCTGCAACACGGCAAACAGGGCGACTTGGTCAAGGGACCGATGTACACAAGATTGGAAGTGGACCGCAGCCCAAAGTATCCGTACCCGGCGACAGCTTCTGGCAGACGGGCTCGCTCTCAGTCTCTCTCGCCTGTCTGTTCTTGGGTGGAGAACGTGGAAACTGGAATTGAGGGACTGCGGCCTTCGAGAAACCGCATCTCACCTCCCCTGGGCCCTGGCACGGGGGGAGAGCGAGAGAGCACTCTGGAGTCTGTGAACATGCTTTTCTCACTACGGTGGGGAGGTTTGGCTTTCTGCTCATCCCATACCCAAGAGCCACGAAGATGGCTTAGTGTAAGGAGTAATAACTTGCGTGCGTTACGGCGTTGTGTTCTCTGTACGCAACGTGCAGGGCCAAAAGACATGCGCGTTCACTGTTTCTGCCCTCTTCTAAAACATGGCTGTACAGCAAGCGCGGCCCCAGATTCGGTCCAGATCTGGGAATATTTTGGTTCACCTCCGAAATCAAAAAAGAAAAATCCCACATGGCTGACACGCCGCCGTTTTCTCCCCCAATTCCGCCTCGGAAGCGGACAGGTTCCCCGTCTCTCTTTTCCCCCCTTTGCTCTCTCTCTTTCTCTCTGTGTGTGTGCCTCCTTGATTCTGCCTCGAGGGACGCTGTGCGTTGCGGGTAGTTAAGGTTTGTGTGTGCGTATCTACGTGTGCCTGTATCCGTTGAAAATGTCTGTGTGTGACCTTACCACGGTGTGTCTTCCACAGTTCGCTGCTTGATGTAAGACTGGGCAGCGGCGGCGGCGAAAAGAAAGAGGTCTTGAACCGAGGCGACGAAGATCTACTTTCTTGGAGGATCTGCTCATTGTCCGTCCATCCCCTTGCCTCGCCAAAGGCAGTCTGCCGGGGTCGGGAGTCATCCGTCGCCCATCAACCCATCACCATGCCCATCGCTTCTGTGTCCGTACCCGTTACCCGTTACCGTCCCCTGCCTTGCCTCTGTTCGGTTCTCCTCTCTGGCCGGCCGCCTCTTGCTCCAGTCCTCGACCCATTACCCAGTCGTCTCCCCGTCGAGGAGGATATTGATGATCGAGGGTGTCCGTGAAGAGACATTGACAGAGTGAGAGACAGGATGTTCCACTCGGCCGGTCAGTCATCAACTAAGTTGCCGCCGTCAGTCAACACACAGACGAGCGCCAATCTTCCAAGAGTCTATACGTCTTCTTGCTCGTTACTGCGCCGTATCTCGCGAAAGCACTCGCTGTCTCTCTGAGTCTCTTTCTCGTCCGGCCCCCTGCAACTACACTAGCACACTACCGCGATCCTTGTTCTCGCTCGCTCTCACTCCCCACCAGATTTCCGTACCCTTCTTTTTCTTCGCGGCCGGCCAACTCAATAGGCGCACACCTAGGGCTCACCCTCCACTCCGTCCCGCTTCCCTTTGGGACGCCCTCCCCCGCAGCAACCTTTCCTCAGGCCCTTTTTTTTGGTGTCCGCAGTGGGATGGGGACCAGAAAGCGAGCAGAGAGAGAAAGTGAACGGTGAGAGAAAGCCAGCAGTGACCGCACACACACACACCCACCACCACCCTCCTCATCGGCTCATCCACCTCCTCCGGCTCCCCCTTGATCGATGATCTTTTCCATTGGCCGTGGCCTCGGCCGGGCTTCTCAACAACGGTCATGCGTTCATCCGTGGAGTCGACACAGAGCTAATGTCACAGAGGGTCCAATGAGCGTCATGCAGATATCCCAGCCGAGATGCCTCTTTCGCTCCTTGATTTCTTTTTTTTCTTACTTTTCCCGAGCCGTCTTTTCGATTCTTTCTCTCTGCCGTGTTGCGTAAGTACGCAGTAATAATGTGTGTCAAGGGCTTGCTCGAGAGAGAGGCATGTATGTATGATGTCGGAGCCTCGGAGGAGGAGGAGGACCATCTGTCCCTGTGCAATATCGCGTGTATCCGTAACTTGTAAGTACACAGGGAACCTTGAGGTGGTTTGTGATCCCCCTTCGCCTCGATGCGAGATCCATAGTATCATTATTTTTGGGGCCAAGCAGTCAAACCTTCGGCCGCGCCTTTCGGTGCCTGTGCCTGTGCCTCGCGCTTGTGCCTGTCTGGTACCTGAGCTTTTTCATGAACCCAGCTCTGGGTTCAGGTTCAGGTTCTTTTTTTGATCTCTCTGCGGCCGCACCAAGCCAAGGGCCAGAAAAAATTACTGGAAAATGGGAACAGGCGCGGGAAAAGGGAGAGCCCCCGTTCGACCCTGTCTCATTCCCTCCTCTCCATTGCTCCAAAACCGCCCACCTGGTTCTGTACTGATTCAGGTGTCGACATCAGCCTGCCTATTCAGGCCTTCACAGACAAGGTGACCCCGTTTCACCATGGGCTGCTCAACTCTGCTCAGCTGGCACGCCGCTGCAAGAAATCTGTCATCTCAATCCAGGATCTCTCTCTTTTTTTTGCCTTTACCAACACGGGCCAAGGGTCAGGTATCTCTCTCACTCACACACACACACATACTATGTACTCTCTCTCTCTTTCTCTCGCTCGCGCTATGCCATGCTGGGCTGGAAATGACGGAATGGTGTTGGGTAGGTTATAGGTTCCAGGACAGTCAATAGCAGCACGGCATTAGCCATTCAGCCGAAAATCTTAAGGCCATGGGCTTTGGTGATATAGCTGCTACCATCGTCCGGTTCATCTGTCACCTCGCTTTGAGCGATCCCCCAGGCTCAGCCCAGGTCTTCTTCTCGAACACACAGGGTGGACACTGGAAGAGGAGGAGTAGGAGGGTACCACCGTGGGAACTTGGTAGTGCTTGGGAAGAAGACTGGACGTGGTGGACGGAAATATCCACACCCATACCACATTTACACGCACAGATGCATGTGGCTCAGCAGAGCAGCAGCATCAACAACAACAGCATCCCGCGACAAGAGCAACAGCTGGTATTAGCTGCCCACCCACGTTCGCGCGTGCCCCGACTGACTTGTTGATGCCAGGAACTGCTGCTGGTGCTGCTGGTGCTGCTGGTCCTGCTCTCCCAGACCACCTTACCCACCCCTCCCCCTACCCTACCCTACGGATCCATCCCCTACCCTGCAGTCCCCTTCCCTCCCCGTCTGTCCATATCCACATGGACAAATCTACACCCACGTCCACATCCCAAATACACACACCCACGTCCAAGCCGGGGGCCTGGCGGCGGCGACGGCGGGCGGGCAAAGCTCGATGCCATGCCATGCCTATCCGTACCCGTCTGGCATGGCATGGCATGAGCTGCTGCTTGTGCTTCTACTTCTGCTTTCTCTGCTACGGATACTGCTGCTGCGGCTTTTCTCACTCGAGTCGGCGAGCCTTAAACCATGCATCGGGTCCCTTTTTCAACCATCTCATTCTCCACTGCTACGGTACCTGAGTACCCTCTTCACCCCAGTCATCCTCGTCCTCCTCGACACCACCAGTCAGGTACCGAGTACACTCGAACCCTCGTCGTTGAACCAGCCGTTATTCCTCTCCCCCCATCGTGGCCAGTTGCTTCTGGCTGCCCGTGCTGGCCCTGGCTCGAGTCCCAAGTCCTCCTGTCCGGATCCAGCCTCGACATTTCTCCGTGTGGATGGCCGTACCCTTCGGTATTAATTCCACCTCTGTCAAACTAAGGAGCAAGGGCTTCCTTACAAGACCGCCTTATTACAACCACGGGTATCCTTCAGACTTGCCATACACAACGGGGCCTGTCAGTTCCAGGCCCAGGAACGCCTCCCAGTCGATCGACCCCGCCATACTATCAGTTGGCACACCCTCAAATTTATACAATATATGATCGATCCTACCTCGTGGGACCTGGAGTAGCCAAGTCCTCTTTCCCTTTTTCATCATCTTCTCTTCCTTTTCCCAAAACGACTTGACGCATCAGCGCATCATCCTCTCTCTACATCTATATATCACTCTCACTCTTACACTCTCTCTTTTGATTAACTTGTTAAGAACCATCTCGGGACGGACCCAACTCCAAGGCCAGACACCTTGACCTTCCGACATCAACCTTACCTTGAATCATCAACATAGAGTGCTGTTATATTACCACTATCGGTTGCTTTTGTCGTACACCTTCTAGCTCATCTAGATCTCGGCAAACATCGATAGCTTCCAACACAATCCCTCCAAACACTCCTTTCCCATCTGTCCTAGATTCAACCTCATCTCAGGACATCCTCTCCAGAGAGATCCAGATCGTCCTTGTACCAGCTCGAAACAAGACAACCACCTCATAAACCGAAACCACCACACCTGTCCCAATGCTTGTTACCAGGCAGTTTGACACCACCGAGCAGAGCCACTGGTCCTACAGCAAATTTGAGACCCCCCTCCACAAGGCCCCTACCACTCCTCCACGCATGTCGAACCAGTTCGAAGCTCCGTTGCCCACGCCTCCCGAGTGGCAAGGGCAGCAGTACTCTTACCTCCCAGGGCCGGAAAACAACGTCTTCTCCCAGGCGTACGGAGCTGGCAATGAGACCTCGGATGCGTCGCAACCTCGCACTGCAACCGGCGCCCCTGCACAAGTAGAGATCCAGACGAAGCAAGAACCCGGTCTGGAAAACCGTGGCACAGCAGACCCTCTTGGACTTCGTCAAGTGAAGCAGCCCACTCCGGAAGACGAGCCCGAGGACAGACAGCAGCAGCAACAACAGCAGCAGGAACAGCGACAGGCATCGCAGTCCTTGGAGAAGACCGCAGAGCCGGCATCTCAGGAACCCACGGCATCAACAGATATGCAGGGCCAGACAATGATCTCGAACCCGGCTTCATCAACAGAGCTCGGTGCCGATGTGTCTTCGTCCCAGATGGACCATGACGAGGGTAGCTTGAGCAAGGACGAGGACGACGACGTGCTTGACGATGATGATATGCTCGACGACGGCGATGGAACCCCACAGACGGCCGCAGAGCGGACAGCAGCCCGGAGGAAGATGAAGCGTTTCCGGTTAGTCGAAGCAGCACATGAAGCATTGTTAGCGGCATACTGACCACAACGACAGTCTCACACACCAACAGACGAGATTCCTCATGAGTGAATTCGCCAAGCAGCCTCACCCTGATGCCGCCCACAGAGAACGCCTGTCAAGGGAGATCCCCGGCCTGAGCCCTCGCCAAGTACAAGTCTGGTTCCAGAACCGGTGAGCCTGCTCGCAACCTAACAATCTCAAAGAGACAGTGGAACTAATCCTGTTCATCCAATAGCCGTGCGAAGATTAAGCGTCTCACAGCAGATGACCGTGACCGCATGATCAAGATGCGTGCGGTTCCCGACGACTTTGACAACGTTCAGGCTCTTCACTCCCCCTACGGCGCGGTCCACGGTCTCAACACTCCCATGTCATCCCCCATGAACTTTGGTACACAGTCATACGCCGACCACATGATTCGTCCTTTGATGGTCGACGTCCGCAGGGCAGAGGGTGGCGAGGAGCACATGTCGTCTACGGGACTCAGCCCTGGGTTTGGAAGCATCGGATTCACTCCCCCGGGAACCATGAGCAGCCCGGATATCCTGTCTCCCATGACACCCAATTCGACTGGCGACCACCGCTACGGATACGGCAGCCACCTGTCGCCCATGGGCCCCGGCCCCCGAACCTCAAACCCCTTTGCGCGACAGGGCGCCCTCGAGAACTCCATGTCCATGCACCGCGGCCAGCCGAGCCGACCTCTCCAGCCTCTCCAGCTGCGCGAGACCATGAACCGGTCAAGGTCGGACCTCAACTCTCCTCTCCGCTCCAGCATGTCCTGGAAGGGCGACGCGATCGACTACAGCACATACCACCACGGAGCCGGCGGAAGCCCTCAGCTGAGTGGAAGACAGCAGTCGGTCTACCAGCCAGAGCAGATGAGCGGCCCCTCAAGCAGCGGCCTCCCTTACGAGTCAAGCTCTTACTCCAGTATGCTTTCAACCATCGTCTCATAATAAAAAACTAGTGTCACTAACCCCAAACGTAGGCAACAACTCACCTCCCGGCATGAACTACTCGAGCTTCCCCGGCGGCCCGCCAAACCGCCTGCGCGCCCGCGCCTCATCAGGCACCCTCGGCCTCGACCTCCGCAACCAGTACCGCTCTGTCGGATCCGTCCCGCCCCCAGGCCACTCCCCGGCCCCTCGCGCGACCTCGGCCCAGTTCGCCTACACCTCCAGTCTGCCCTCAGCCCCCCTCACCGCGCCCGTCGACTTCTCTCTGCCCCGCACGCCCGGCGCCCGACCCGGCGGTGTCCAGGACTACTCGATGCCTCAGATGAGCGCGCCCATCGCCGCGCCCAACGACTTCTCGCAGGCCTTCCACGCCAGCATGAACACCTCCAGCTCCAGGACGCCCATGCGCGACACCTTTGGCGGCGGCGGCCCGATGCCGCCTCAGCACCCCCCTCACGGCGCCCACAACGGCGAGTACGCTCAGCAGCAGCAGCAACATCACCAGGAACAACAGCGCGGAGGAGATGAGTACGGACACGAGTTCGGCGCGCTGAAGAGGAAGAGAAGCTTCTCGAGCGGAGCACCGGCCGGACCTGGACCCGCACCCGGACCTCAGGCATACGGAAGCACAGCATAAAGAGAAGTAAAAGAGAACCCAAAAAAAAAAGAAGAAAAAACACAAATCTCATGTGGACCATACTTGGAAAGTTGGCCAAACCCCCAAAGATACCCCAAGGCAAAGGAAAGGGAGGAGGAGACAAAGGGAGGGGGAAATCCGGAAACATTCTGCTTTGGTTTTTTTGGGTCGGAAAATCTGATATTTTTACCTGTTCTTAGAATAAGGAGTGTGCGAGCGCGCTGCTCCAACGACATGACTCTCTCTTGCGTTTGTTGATTTCGGTCTGGCCTTTTTTTGGGTTTTTCGCTTCTTGGGTCTCTTGTATGATGAGACGAAAGCTCACAATTTTCTGTCTTTCTTGTTTTTGTCTTTTTTTTTCTCTTCTGCTCTATGCACATATTACTTTTTTTGGCAACTCCATATATCCCCAAATGACATACAAAAAGGGACCTTTCTGTCTTTTACTGCAAACTGCTCTCCATCTCTTCCTTTCCTCTCGAGTGCTTCCCAGGACTGGACGTCAGGGTGTTTCTGTTCTTGAAATTTGTACTCTATCAAAATACCCCCTTCTCCAAACGTCAAAACGTATCTCAATGTGGTTTTTTGGTTTCCGCTTTTCTTGAGTGTTGTAGCAGAACAGGGAAGTTTCTTAGCATATGCAAATACCACCTTGATTCGTCAAAGACTTGATGTGCCTCAATGATGTGTGCTGAACCAGCCGAAAAAGCCAAGCTACCCAGTCCAAGGCAACACCCGTCGGCGCGGATTCAGCCGCCATCACAACCTTGCATCAGAATTCGAGATCTCACGAGGGGCTGGACTACCTTGAGAAATTGAACAGGTGGGAGGAGGAGGAGGGGGGGGTGTGGTTTCAAGAAGAGGAAGGGAAAGAAAAAAGGAAATATCCCGAGACGGAAGAAAGAAGTGATGGGCTGCAAGTATAGCTTCGGTTAGCGAGAGAGAAGGTCGCCCACTCCCTTCCATCCCATCCTTACCGAGGTTTTCTTTCCAACAATTGTGTTTGTGATGGGTCACCATAGACCTTGCCTCATGTAACCCTGGACGTCTCGTCTCGTCTCGCCTCATCCCGCCCTTGAAAACTGAATCGAGGTCGATCCATAAGCTTAACTACCTTACCTAAAAGCCCTTCCCAAAACACGACTTAGCAGCGAGGACTGGAGAGTAGCCCTCGAGATAAACGGTATGCCAGGTCATCGAGTGATCCGACTCTGTGAGTGAATCCGAGGAAGGAGACCTCCATAACCGAATGATTCCTCGACCCGCTTAACAACAAGCGCAGTGTAGTTTGCATTGCTGTTGGTCACGAGTGGTTTCCCTCCACTATTCTGCCCCCCCGGTTCCTCATCACCGGAAACTAGTTGCGATCCGGCCGGAGGCGTCCAAATGCTGTGCTCTGGTTGGTCCCCGCTCGCTCGTCCGCTTCCTCCGCCGGCTTCATTCTCGGCGGTGCTGGTCCGGGAAAGGGGGGGGCGGGGGAATCACGGGAGCTGGCAAGACGGACGAGCTCGCCGGTTCCTCCCCCACGATCCTACTCTTTTCTTTGCCTCTTGCTCTGGTCTTGCAGCTCAATGGAGGGCTCTTCTTACTCTTGCTCTTGTCAGTACTGAGTAAGTAGGAGCTGTAAGACCCCCCCTGCCCCCTGCCCCCTCATGTACCGCCGCCGGGCCTAC